AGCCAGCCCTAATAGTAGATAACCGAATATAATGCTTAACTTATATAGCTCGTTTACATTAATATATGAATATATTTGAAAATATATGAATAAGTTTGATTCTATTTATTGATATTTGCATTTAATTGATTAACTAATTAATTATATAATGTCGTTGGTTATTGGTAAAGTTTCTAACTAAATGTAAATTCAGAGAAGCATGACAGAAATACACCTGACTGATGAACAAAAGGAGGTTATATTGCTCCTCTCCAGACACGCCCTATCCATGTTATAATCTCATCAGGTAAATTTGTGTATAATAATTTGCATATGTTCCTGGTGAGTGTAAGGTCTGCAGATCTGCTTAGGTTACATGCTGCGAACTCACTTACTTTGAACATTAACTCTGTCCTTTGACCATCCCAGGTCAAAATGATTGGATCTCAGATTGGAGCAGAGAAAGACATTATGCATTTTTAATAATCTAGTTTATTTAAAACGATGGACATTTTTTGTTCTGAGGTTTCTCGGGTAATTAGCAGCTATAATTTTCAATATCTTGCATAGAAAATGCTTTGGCGGCAACTCCGATAAATACTGATAAGGGATTGTCTGATAACTGCTGGCTTCATCATTGTGATATATTTTGAGTATAACACATTTTGTCCATCTATATATCTCATCTGACAATACTGGTTTGCTGTTGGACCGGTTTGTTGAACGAAGACAGATTTACGCCAAGCCAAAATATGAGAAGTGAGCATTTTTTTCTCCTGTGGATAATGTTTCATTGTCTTTGCTTGAAGGATTTTCTGTTTGTGGCCAATGGAAGTCAGAAAGTACGCTAAGATAACTCAACTTTGCCTAACTTTGCATGCAGTCTGAGGAAGGGATTTCTTCCTAAACACTCACAACAAGCCGTGCTCTAACTTGTTTTGCACTGTGAGTTTTGCATGATGATAAGAGAACATGGACGACCGTTTCGAAATGTCAACATTTGGATTGCTTCAGTTCATTTCAGGCTAGTGCATGACTTGTTGCAAATGAGTGATTTCTCCATGTGACGGTGTTTGTGTGCATGCAGACTGCTGATATCAGAGTCAAACATTGGGTGAAAGTGATGCTGGTCATTTATCGTGGGTCATGCAGGGTGTGTATAAATAGCCTGCAGAGAAACGTCTAGTCGTTTCTTGTTTGAGTAACTCTAGTTGGATGGAAAAACTTAAAAATCTAGCCCAACCAGAGTAACATGGCCTCAGAGAGCTCAACCAACTGGACTGGCTTTTTGTGTCTTTCCCAGAGAGCACTGTTTTTATGTGTTTATGGCTGCTTTGACGTGGTCATTGATTCATTCAATCTGTCTCTACCAAAAAGGTCTAATATAAAGATTTCCATTAACGTACATAGCATTTCCTTTGGCACATGCCGAACCTGCTTCATTAGGAAGTTTCAATGTGTCATTGATGAAAAAATGTACTATAATATAATGACTTTTTCTTCTATTTACACTTAAAAATTAATGTTCTAAATGCACGTTTTGCCTTGTTTAACAGGCTTAACACAAAATGTTGATTTACTTGAGCAAATTTTAAGCACATTTGCATGATATAATATGATTTTCAGAGCATATATCTTGATTTACATTTATTTTATATTAAATAGATTTATTTATTTATTTATTAATAAGATATTATTTTATATTGTGAATGAAATTTCTTAATTTTTTTATCCCATTTTGGCAAATAGCCTAGTTTTATTTCTTATTTTAAACATGCATCTACAGTATAACTTGTATAACTAAAAAAAACGATTTACCAATAGAGAGATCAAATATAAATGGTATTCAGGATATATTCTCTGAAAACGTCTAATATAAAGATTTCCATTAACGTACATAGCATTTCCTTTGGCACATGCCGAACCTGCTTCATTAGGAAGTTTCAATGTGTCATTGATGAAAAAATGTACTATAATATAATGACTTTTTCTTCTATTTACACTTAAAAATTAATGTTCTAAATGCACGTTTTGCCTTGTTTAACAGGCTTAACACAAAATGTTGATTTACTTGAGCAAATTTTAAGCACATTTGCATGATATAATATGATTTTCAGAGCATATATCTTGATTTACATTTATTTTATATTAAATAGATTTATTTATTTATTTATTAATAAGATATTATTTTATATTGTGAATGAAATTTCTTAATTTTTTTATCCCATTTTGGCAAATAGCCTAGTTTTATTTCTTATTTTAAACATGCATCTACAGTATAACTTGAGGTTCATGCTTAAAAAAAACGATTTACCAATAGAGAGATCAAATATAAATGGTATTCAGGATATATTCTCTGAAAACATCTTACACAATTTTGTTTCTCAGGTAAATTAATTTTATGTTAAGCATGTTTAGATATTCTGATTAGAAGATCTTTTGAATGGCCTTCAATGGAGAAACAAGCCCATGTAACGTTGTAGTTACAGCAGCTAACAAATAGGGGCAAACTTCTAAAATTAACCACACAAACCACTGTGTTCAACTAAAGTCCTAAGCAGGTCCTAACTAGGGATGGGCGATACCCCTTATTTTGTTTTCGATACGATACCGATATTTTTCAAGGCAGTATCGTCGATATCGATACCGATTCGATACTTCTGCACTAAACTTTTCAGTTATGAAATGTATTAAATTATTAAATTACTAAGAGTAAAATGGGTAATGAAAACCACTTAACTTTATGTTGAAAACGCATTTTAGCCCGTTTAATCCCAAATTTTTCCCAGACATGAAAATATACAAATGATGTGTCATTAGTAACCCTTTGAAATAATCAATATTATTATTATTATTATTTTTGTTAAATAAACAAAACCACTGGTAAATAAAATGCACCTTAGTATCGATATTTTTGGTTTGAGTATCGATACTTTCGATACTCGCGTCAGTATCGATATATCGATACTTCGGATCGATACGCCCATCCCTAGTCCTAACCTCTTTTTCTGTCCGTACTGAAAGCGAAAATGTTCTATGATGCCTAAAATTGTCCACTAAATGAGTGATCTAAATCAGAACAGCTGACTTAGAACATTCGAACAAATCTTTCCAGAATGCACATTGATTAAACCATCCAAAAACCTTTGACTACTTCACGGATATTACATAACACTTTCGTTATCTCACTTGTACTGCATTCATATTGATGCTCAGAGGTTTCCTCATAGCTCTGGGCTTGTTGTCTTGCTAGCCACTGAAGTGATCAGCACAATGTGTGGCCATTTTTTAGGTTGCTTTAGGAGAAAAGAAACTTCAATGCAATGCCATTTAATTTGAAGAGTGCCAAACAAAGGAACTAAGAACTCTATCTAATCATTAACAAGCTGTTCTTGTATCTAATATGACTGATATTTAACCTCAGATTTTCATGACTGCCCTGCTACACACACTTGCCTAAAATTTTCAAATGTCCCAAGTCATAGTGCGTAATAGTGTGCCAAAGTGTCAGGATGGTATTTCCATTGGATTTTCAAAGTGTGCATCCATTTATGAATTATGGGCTAATACTATCAAAGCTAATACTACCAAATATTTAGCAAGCCCCATAAACCCCTGCTGTTATACAAAGGCAAATCTTTCTCCATTGACAGGGATTCAAACAGAGCCATGTATTGACTGAAATTATTTGTATTTTTAATAAATAAATAAATAAATGCCAGTGCATAATTCTTTTTTGAGGCTTTTAAAAGTTGAAATACTATTATTGTGTTAATTAATATTTTTAATTTATTTTTATATTTTATGTTTTCATTTTAATTTTTGTTTGTTTCCGTAATTTATGTGATTTTTGTTCAAATATCAAAATATTTATTTATTTACTTAAACTTATTTATTTCAGTTAGTTACCAAAGCAACATGTCTAATTTTTGTTTTTTTAATATAAACTCAATTTTTCATCTAAACATTTTATTTTAGCTTTATTTCAAATAAGATATAGACCTCTTTGAATGTTCCCCAAAACCCCTTGCTCTGCAGAAGAGGTGAGTTTTTAAATGTGTGACAGTTACTTATGCATTTAACTAAATGATAATGCTTAATTGCATTGAAAAAAAAATGGTGGAATATATTATTAAAAAAATGCTGAAATATTTTCTTGTAAAACATACTCCTGTTGTTTTATTTACAAGTTTGAAAAATCTAATCACAGTGGGGTTTTTTTCCTTTGCAGACACATTTGCGTGCGATTAAACTGACATATACACTGTAAACACTGTCATTTCTACATGGTTTCTTTTCAGTTTCTCAATTCAACAAGTGATCAAAAGTTGATAAAAAGAGACTATATCTTCAATTTATTTTATATTATTTGCATTTTTTATTATTTTATATTTTGAATTTATTCATGCATTTATTTTTTTATTTTATTTGTATTTTATTTTTGTCATGGTATTTTCAAACACGTCAATCTCTGTTTATAATAATGTCCCAAAGATGTATGTTAATACCACTGAGATCCCACAGGGGTGTTTCTCTTTTGTTTTCCCATCCAGGTGCAGTGTGTAGCCATGGCTGCATGGGTGGAGGCGACCACAAGGGAAATGGGCCAATCGCTCATTAACCCAGACAAACCTTCAGTTTCAGCCTCTGCACTCCCTGGAGACACGGGGAAGCCAGCATTTGGCCCAAAACCCCACCTCATGCCCAAACCATTTGTCCTGCAAAGGAACGCCACCGTCCGCCCGATCCAGGCCCCGAAAACCAACTTTAGCAGAGAGCTCAATCGAGCCGCCTCTTCTGAAGTGCTTTTTGATATCACAAAACCTGGTACTGGTGGTTCAAAACCATCAGAATCCCTAAAATCAGGCTCAAACGGCACAGTAAATGGCTCTAACCAAAGTGCAGATCCTAAACCCGTCCCACTCAGCACAAAACCTGACTTAATGGCTAAGGCTAAACCAGAACCCATGAAGACTCCTGGTTCTAATAACCAAACCGGTCCAAACTCAAAGCCTGGTGTGACCGCTGAAGATGTGAAGGACGTTCAGCCCAGGAGCAGAGCAAAATCCTTGGGTTCTCCGGATCAAAAGATCCTGAGCCAGAAGGTCCAAGGAGAAGCAGCCAAGACTGAAGCGGACGTCAAAATGTCTTCAAGATGCTGGCCGCCTCGAAATCGTCTCTCCGTGGAGCTGACCTCCAAGTTCGAGTCACCGTCTCAACCAGAGAAAGAGGTGAAGAGAGATGCTGAAACCAGCAAGACGGAGAAAGATTGGCCACCGCATTCTCCTTCTGAGTCCAGGTCTTCAAAGCCTCTGATGGAGGAAGGAGAGACGGGAGACGAGGACGTCAGCGGAGGCAGCATTAAGAGACGGATCAGCCTTCTCTTCGATCGATCTACAGCAGCTCAGCACAGGGACACCTTCAACAAAAGAGACAGTCCACAAGCCGAAATGTCTGTTGACATTAAACAGAGAATCCAGAATCTGAGCTTGGACGCACCAAGGACTCGCTTGCCATCCACTGGTGCTCCAAAAAGGTTAGTGAAGCCTTTCTTTTCATTTTGACCTTCAATACTTGTGTTTCTTATGCACAAAGCATACTCTGTGTACATAAACAGATACCAGGGCTCAACTGACAGAACTAGAACTGTCGATTTTACATTAATTGATCTTGCTGTTCAGTTTTTATGTATTGCATAAAGATCCAAACACCCACTCAGTTGTATTTGAAAACATTTCAGCTATGTCTGTTATGACTCTTAACCATTTGACACGTAGCCAACAATCACACGGGTGATCAAATCAAGTTTAAACACCACCGCTGATCCAGAAGGACCAGTTGTCATGTTTATGTATGAAACAGCTTCACAAACATCATGACAGGTGACTTTTTTTTATAAGTGATTCATTCTTGTTCATTCAAGAATGAAACAAGCAAGCGAGTCAATGAGCCATTCATTTAACGGATTCGTTCAAAAAAAACCTGAATCATTCAAGAACAAATGTTTCAGTTTAATATGTTTTTAAAATAGTCTGAAGCAAAGAACATTTTTGTCAGAAATGACAAAATGTTCTTTCCTTTCATTTATTTAGTAGCCTAACATAAACGTTTTTTCTTTAGAATCGTGTTTCGCAATTAACGTTTATCTGTAACATATTTCCAAACTCTTATGTTTGCAGTCCACCATCCGAGAAGACACAGAGCACCTCAGATGAGCCACCGAATGAGAGATCTTCTGAAAAACCTGCAACAACAGAAAAGGTGCCTGGTGACAAACCAGCAAGTACGACAGAAATCAAGAACTCTGCTGCTAGTGTGGAGAATGTAGAAGAAGAGGAAGACGATGTTGCCATTCCTGTTGGGATGAGCCTAGATGCGGAGAAGAAGAGAAGGGAAGAAGAAGAAAAACAGAGAAAAGATGAGCAGTTAGAGAAAGAAAGACAACAGCGGGAAAGGGAAAGACTTTTGGAAGAGGAGAGGGAGGCAAGAGAAATAGAGAGACAGAAAGAGGAGGAACAAGAGAGAAAACAGGAAGAGGAAAAGCAAAGACAGATGGAGGAAAGGAGAAAGCAAGAAGAAGAACGAATGAGAAGAATTGAAGAAGAAATAAAAGAGGAGGAGAGGAGGAGACAAGCTGAAAAAGAGAGGGAGAGACAGATCGAAGAGGAGAAGAGAAGGATTCAAGAAGATAAAGAGAGACTGAGAGAAGAGGAAAGACTGGAGAAACTAAAGAAAGAGAAAGAAATGGAGGAAAGAAAACGAATGGAAGAAGAGAGACAGAAAGAGGAGGAAAGATTGAGACAGGAACAAGAAAAAGAGAGGCTACAGAAGGAAAAAGAGATGGAAGAAGAGCGGAGAAGAATTCAGGAGATGGAGAGACAAAGAGAGGAAGAAAGATTGAGAAAAGAGCGAGAATTAGAGAGAATAAGGAAAGAAAAAGAGATGGAAGAAGAGAAACAAAGAATTCAAGAGATGGAGAGACAGAAACAAGAGGAAAGATTGAGACAGGAACGAGAATTGGAACGAATAAGGAAAGAAAAAGAGATGGAAGAAGAGAAACAAAGAATTCAAGAGATGGAGAGACAGAAAGAGGAGGAAAGACTGAGAAAAGAGCGAGAATTAGAGAGAATAAGGAAAGAAAAAAAGATGGAAGAAAAGCAGAGAATTCAGGAGATGGACAGACAAAAAGAGGAGGAAAGATTGAGACAAGAACAAGAATTGGAACGTATAAGGAAAGAAAAAGAGATGAAAGAAGAGAAACAAAGAATTCAAGAGATGGAGAGACAGAAACAAGCGGAGGAAAGACTGAGAAAAGAACAAGAACTGGAAAGAATAAGGAAAGAAGAAGAGCGGAGAAGAATTCAGGAGACGGAGAGACAGAGAACAGAGGAAAAACTGAGACAGGAGCGAGAAAAAGAGAGACTACAGAAAGAGAGAGAAATTGAAGAAAGAAAACGAATGGAAGAGGAGAGACAGAGAGAAGAAGAAAGACTGAGACAGGAACGAGAAAGAGAGAGACTAAAGAAAGAAAAAGCGATGGAAGAGGAGAGACAAAGAATTCAGGAGTTGGAGAGACAGAAAGAGGAGGACAGATTGAGACAAGAACGAGAAAATGAGATGGAGATGGAAACATGTAAAGCAGCAGAGAGATTACGAGAGGAAGTTCCTACGAGTTATGATTTAATATCGTTTGACGCGGAGGGACCGGCGGCGTCACAGACTCTCGTCTCCACCGTCCAGGCTGCTGACGTCTCGCCTCGGCTCACTGAAGTGATTTATGATGACTTTTCAGTGAAACCCCGAAGATGGGGAACCGGGGCGAGACGTTCCTCGACACCGTCTCCATCCAGAGAACCTCCTGCTGCTCCTGACCACAGTCTACACCCAGAACCAAAGACCAGTGATCCTGGATCCCAAGAACCATGCGGAGATCAGGTATATGCGCATGATCTGACCGGATTTGAACCTGAAGCTTCCAGTCCACAGAACTCGACAGAAAGCAGAAAGCAAACATATTTATTTGAGGAGTCCAAACCAGAGGACCTGCTGGAGCCAGAAACTCAATCTGATGAGGTGAGACCAATGGCAGTAATTTAAATATTGCGAAATGATTTATTTATGAATATTGTGATATGTTTTACTCTAATAAAAAACAATAAGCCACAGGAGACTTTAAATTACAGTGATTTTACCTCATGTTTAGGGGTGTTCTTATGAGGTAAAACAGAGTCTAAAACTCTCTTAAATTTCTTAATCTTAATATAAAAATATAAAAGTAAAAAAGATGTTGAAATATCTACATTTATTAATAATAATCAGTGTATTTATGTGTATGGTCCAAGGTACATTCTTAATTCTATATTCTATAAAATAATATTAAATATATTAGAAATAATATTTAAAAATGTATAATATAAAATAAAATAATGTTATTAAATATTATTATTCATTAATTATATTCAAGATATTATTCATTAATAAAACAAAATCTGAATAATTTTGTCTATTAGCCTAACTGAAATCTGAAAAGCAATGTAGCAACTTGGCACCTTATTTATAATGTGCAATCACAGGTGTACATTTATCTGCATTTCGAACACGGCTCATGCAATCAGAATTTAAAGTAAGAAAATAAGTCATTTTTATAAAGTAAATATTTGAATTTTAATGAAACAAAAACTAAAAGGGCCCCACTAATCTCAGCTGGCAGTAAACACTATTTGAAAACACTTAACGATTGTGGCCCTTTTGGCTTTCAGTAGTTTAATGCGCAGCAGCATGTAGGGGGTTACTAGCTGGTTAGCAGTACTAGCTGGTTTAGCAGTTAATCCCTGCTAGTTGCTCCTACATTATGGGGGCAAACGACACCTGTCTTCATTCACAGCTGTTCAAATCCATATATCATACAATTATTTGCAATCAAAATATAAATCACTAAAACTTAGTTATGTTTTTGTAGATGTTTTATCAGTGCCTGATGTTGTTTTGAAGGGCTCTTAACAGTGAGATATACACTTACCTGTTTGTTCAAAGCAGATCTCATCTGTTAGCATTAGTTTTCCTCTCAGTCACAGTTTCAGATGCATGTATTAGTAAAATATACAACCTACATGCTGTCATCCTAACCTAATCTAATATGTATTATAAAGTATATAATTATAAAAGTAAAAAATGTATATAACTTTTATAAACTTTTCATTAATAATATTCATTATTAAATATTATTATTCATTAATTATATTCAAGATATTATTCATTAATAAAACAAAATCTGAATAATTTTGTCTATTAGCCTAACTGAAATCTGAAAAGCAATGTAGCAACTTGGCACCTTATTTATAATGTGCAATCACAGGTGTACATTTATCTGCATTTCGAACACGGCTCATGCAATCAGAATTTAAAGTAAGAAAATAAGTCATTTTTATAAAGTAAATATTTGAATTTTAATGAAACAAAAACTAAAAGGGCCCCACTAATCTCAGCTGGCAGTAAACACTATTTGAAAACACTTAACGATTGTGGCCCTTTTGGCTTTCAGTAGTTTAATGCGCAGCAGCATGTAGGGGGTTACTAGCTGGTTAGCAGTACTAGCTGGTTTAGCAGTTAATCCCTGCTAGTTGCTCCTACTTTATGGGGGCCAACGACACCTGTCTTCATTCAAAGCTGTTCAAATCCATATATCATGCAATTATTTGCAATCAAAATATAAATCACTAAAACTTAGTTATGTTTTTGTAGATGTTTTATCAGTGCCTGATGTTGTTTTGAAGGGCTCTTAACAGTGAGATATACACTTACCTGTTTGTTCAAAGCAGATCTCATCTGTTAGCATTAGTTTTCCTCTCAGTCACAGTTTCAGATGCATGTATCAGTAAAATATACAACCTACATACTGTCATCCTAACCTAATCTAAAGACAAATGCACGTAATTTGCTCAATGGATGTTTTTATGTTTGTTGGAAGTTCTGAGGGAAGAAAAATAGTATCTGGAATTGCCAAACTTCACAAGCATTGTGTCTTAATAAGAGAACTGCAAGAACTGTAAATGTCCAGAGCTGCGTTTCTCTAAAGCATCGTGAGAAAAGTTGATCGTAGAGACCATTGGTGGCAATCGATCTTACGATGTACTTTGGCTTACGATGCTTTTGGGAAATGCAGCCCAGACTTGTATAAGCACAACTCGCATGCATCAGACTTGCTAAAAGTCAACAAATCTAGCTTGTAATATTACCTATAGAGAATTGCATGATTTTTTTAGTGACAGCAAGCATAATCCGCTCATAGGTGAGGGTACGAGAAACCTTGTTTAGCTGATGTTGCTCTTCAGGGCAGGGCCTTTGTTTCCATTGATTGTGTCATGTTGGAATTTCCCATTGGTGTCTTATGACGGCATAGAGGGATGTCATCGCAGTAGATGCTGCTTTGTTCTGGGTGTGTGTATATAGATGTGTTTATTCTTACTTGACACTTGTCCTTGAGTCAGGCCTATGGCATTTTCAAACAACACCTATCGACTGCATTTGAGCAACAGATCATACAAACATTGGCATTGATTACATGTACACCAATATATGTCTATTTACTGCACAATTAATCCAAATTAAATTATCGTTATATTATTATTCAGATGCCTACATGACATGGGCAAACGTTGTTTGTTGTTGTTGATGTAAAAAAAGTTGTTTTTACATGATCCTTGCCATTATTTTGATTATTTACTAAGAAATCTAGTTGTTTTACAGCCGTTTTGTTGCTATTTTCTTGTACCCAGCAATACATTTTTTTCAATTAAAATAAAAATTCTCTCTCTCTCTCTCTCTCTCTCTATATATATATATATATATAAAACCTATAAGTTAAAAATCTGACTAAATATTTCCATTTATACTTTTTTGCGCAAAGAAAACAAAAATAACGACTTTATTCCACATTTTCGTCTCTACTGCTTTACTTGTGGATGCGCGTTCACGACAGTACTATATATGCGAGCGTGTGGCGGCGCCGGCGCTGACCCAGATCCGGCGTGATGACGTCATTACGCCGGATCTGGATCAGCGCCGCCACACGCTCACGTCATGATACTGTCGCGAACGCGCGTGCGCAAAAAAGTATTCTCGTAGCTTCGTAACTTTACAGTTGAACCACTGATGTCACACGGACTACTTTGTCGAACATCTTGGTACTTTTCTGGACCTTGAACGTGGTAGTTACCTTGCTGTCTATGGGAGGGTCAGAGAGCCCTCAGATTTAATAAAAAATATCTTAAATTGTGTTCCGAAGATGAACGAAGGTCTTACGGATTTGGAACAACACGAAGGGGAGTAATTAATGACAGAATTTTCATTTTTGGGTGAACTAACCCTTTAAGTACTTTTGTCTGTCTATTGAAAGCTGTTATCTGAACACAGCTCATTCAGTCACAATTTAGTGTCAGTTTATTCTATTGATATAATAAATTTAATTAGAGTGAAAATTGACATCAATGAGGAGTAATTTTTGTGATGATTTTCAGCCATTTTGTACACAGCAACATGCTCAATTCAAATGCAGTTGACTTGTTTGTTGCTGCTGTTTTTATTTGCTGCTTCAAAAATGCTAAATAGTTCCTGCTTCTGAGTGACAGAAATGCGATTAAATTGTGTACTTGCCTATAGTGCAATTAAAACCACCACATATTTTACTGTGATAATGGTTATACTGTAATTATGATCAGAATTGCATCATTCGCAATATTCTGAAGACATGAGCACCAATGTAATCACAGCAAAATAATCACAATCTTAATGACACATAGCCAATTCTTTAAGCTAAGGATGCACTGGATTTGATCAAACCCTAAGTATGCGCTATAGTTGAGTTTAGTGAGCACCACTAATTATGGTTTAGAGGCTGAATTTGCATTCGATTCCATGTGAAAAGTTTTGGGGACAGACAAGGAAGTTTCTCTGCTCCGATCTTCATGTAAATGATTTGCAAAGCCCTGTAGGTTTGGATTTTTACTTTCGTATGCAAGGCAAAAAAAGTTTGAAACTCCAAAATGTTTGAAACAAAAATAGAAAATTTGCAATGACGTAGAATGATTTGAATATTTTTCTTTGTTTGGTTTTCATATTTTCATGTGAACTACTGGTTGAATCTATTGGGCTACAGATTAAGATTCACTTGGGTCTTATTGCATGTTCATGCAGTTGTTTACATCAGGAAAAGGAGAGAAAATATCTGTGCATGTGTGGGATTTCTCTGGTTTATGTACATTCACAGAATGGTTTAATAAAACATTCAGCATCTGAATGTGGGCTTTAGAGGTATTTAATGAAATTAAGTTCATAAAGATACTATGTGTTTACATTTTCTTAAGAAAGTGAGTGGTACAAAGGTCAGCATCATTATTTGTTTAATATATAATAACACTTATAATATAAAATAAATAAATATAAAAGTTAAAAACCTTTCCAAATATTTTCAATTTATTCATAATAGAGTACTTTTGTTTATTAGTCCATTATTATTAGTATTATTATTATTAAATACAACCTCTTCAGTTGTTTACATGCAAATTGCCATAATTATTCACTAAGAAATATGGTTGTTTTACAGTCATTTTGTTGCTATTTTGTTGTACCCAGCAACACAAAAGGTTCAATAAAAATAAAAATAAAAAAGGCTCAAAAAAGGCTGAAATACAGTAAAATTAGTAATACTGTGAAATTTTATTACAAAAAAATATGAAATTAAAAAAAAAGTTTTCTATATATAATTAAAATTAAACAAAATATAATAAAATGTAATTGGGATGTAAATGTGATGGGAAAAAAATTATTTTCAGCAGCCCTATACTCCAGTTTTCAGTCATATGATCCTTCAGAAATCATTATTTATTTGAAATAGAAATTATTTGTAACATTATAAATGTTTTGTCTTTTTGTGTTTGGACAATTTTAAGCATGCTGTATGAGGTTGCTAGGTGGTTGCTAGGGTGTTGGCATACTCTAGATCAGTGTTTCCCAACCTTTTATTAGTCGTGGCACCCTTTGGAAATTTTAACAAACTTGTGGCACACTACAAAATT